TGCTGTGTTCCCCCAGACAGTGGCTTGGGTCTTAGTACGTGAGGCAGAAAGTGAACAGTAGAGACTGTGCGTGGCAAGATGTAGAAGCGTGGGGAATCCGGCTCAGGCTGCTGCAGGCACTGGCAGCTCGCTTCCTGCAGACCTCAGATCCGGAGCCACTGAGCACCCCTGCTTGGAGCAGAGCTGACCCGGGAGACGGGGGGACAGAGCGGGCCCGGGAGATGCGGGGGGAGAGCTGACCCGGGAGATGGGGTGGCAGAGCTGACCCGGGAGATGCGGGTGCAGAGCTGACCCTGGAGATGGGGGGCTGAGTTGCTGGGGGTGCTCCCAGCTGAGCCGGACCAGGAATGGACGGGATGGGGGACGGAGCATCATGCTAAGGGCTCTGAGTGCTGCTAGCTGGGAGGCTGGGAGGGAAGGGAGAGGAAAGGATCTTTGCTTCAAAATTCCGCAAGGTTAGAGGTACCAAGCGCAGGCCCCTGTCTGCTGTCAGATCCCTCACCAGGTCCTGTAGGACTGCCCATCAGAGGCAGAATTAGAACCCGAGTCAAGTGGGCAGAATGATTTGTTACTTCCTGAGCCCAAACCCTTGGTAACAGCGCCTGGGGATGACTCAGTGATTTGTTTCCAGAGGGAGGAGGTTTGTAAAGGCGGTTGGACCCAGGGCTGGGGAGATGGCTGGAGGGAAGTACATGTCCCTCAATGAGGGCTGGACTCTGGGTGCGGGGGTAGGTGGGGAAGGGCAGCCCCAGGGCAACTGGCCCAGGAAGTTCTCAGCCACGAGACCAACACCTGTTCTTTTCTCAAGGCTGCTGATTATACCAGGAAGCCCCCGAGAGTGTCGTCCTGCTTAGCGATTCTGTTTTGCTAGACTACCTTTGGATCACTTGCTGTTCGTTTTTAGACCAGACTTTAAGAATCCAGCGACGTCACCAACTTCCAGCTATTACAAAGCCATAATTATCAAGACAGTATGGTACTGGCACAAAAACAGACACTCAGATCAATGAAAGAGAATAGAAAACCCAGAAATGGACCCACAAACGTATGGCCAACGAATGAGCAGGAGAGAATATCCAATGGAATAAAGACAGTCTCTTCCCAGTGGTGCTAGTAACACTGGGCTGCAATGTGCAGAAAAACGAACCTGGACCACTTTCTCACACCAGACACAAAAATAAACTCAAAGTGGATGAAAGACCTCAATGTAAGACAGGAAGCCGTCAAAATCCTCGAGGAGAAAGCAGGCCAAAACCTCTTTGATCTTGGCCGCAGCAACTTCTTACTCAACACGTCTCCAGAGGCATGGGATACAAAAGTAAAACTGAACTTTTGGGGCCTCATCAAATAAAAAGCTTCTGCACAGCGAAGGAAACAATCAGCAAAACTAAATGGCAGCCGGGGCGCCTGGGTGGCTCAGTCGGTTGATCGTCCGACTTCGGCTCAGGTCATGATCTCGTGGTCTATGAGTTCGAGCCCCGCGTCGGGCTCTGTGCTGACTGCTCAGAGCCTGGAGCCTGTTTCACATTCTGTGTCTTCCTCTCTCTCTGACCCTCCCACGTTCATGCTCTGTCTCTCTCTGTCTCAAAAATAAATAAATGTTAAAAAAAAATTTTTTTAAACTAAATCGCAGCCAACGGAATGGGAGAAGATATTTGCAAATGACATATCACATAAAGGGTTAGTATCCAAAATCTATAAAGAATTTATCAAACTCAACACCCAAAACACAAATAATCCAGTGAGGAAATGGGCAAAAGGCATGAATAGGCACTTCTCCAAAGAAGACATCCAGATGGCCAACCCACACATGAAAAAATGCTCCATATCACTCATCATCAGGGAAATACAAATCAAAACCACCATGAGATACCACCCGACACCTGTCAGAATGGGGAACATTAACTCAGGCAATGACAGATGTTGGTGAGGATGCAGAGAAAGAGGATCTCTTTTGCGTTGTTGGTGGGAATGCAAGCTGGTGCAGCCACTCTGGAAAACAGTATGGAGGTTCCTCCAAAAACTAAAAATAGATATATATATCTATATATATCTATACACACACACAATGCAGTATTACTCAGCAATCGAAAAGAATGAAATCTTGCCATTTGCCACCACGTGGATGGAACTAGAGGGTATTATGCTAAGCGAAATTAGAGAAAGACAAATATATGACTTTACTCATATGAGGACTTGAGGATACAAAACAGATGAACACAAGGGAAGGGAAGCAAAAATAATATAAAAACAGCGATGGGAACAAAACATAAGAGACTCTTAAATGTGGAGAACAAACAGAGGGTTACTGTGGGAGCTGTAGGAGGAGGGATAGGCTAAATGGCTAAGGGGCATTAACATGATAACGAACTTGAATGTAAATTTAAAAAAGATGAAAAAAACAGGGGCGCCTGGGTGGCTCAGTCAGTTAAGGGGCCGACTTCGGCTCAGGTCATGATCTCGCGGTCTGTGAGTTCGAGCCCCGCGTCGGGCTCTGTGCTGACTGCTCGGAGCCTGGAGCCTGTTTCAGATTCTGTGTCTCCCTCTCTCTCTGCCCCTCCCCCGCTCATGCTCTGTCTCTCTCTGTGTCAAAAATAAATAAACGTTAAAAAAAAAATGAAAAAACCAAAAAGAATCCAGAGAAATCAGACCACATGGTGCAGCACATGTAACATCCATGTCCATTCATGCATTTGGGGAATGCACTTTTATTTAGCACTTTCCTTAGTATGTTATTTCATTTTCTTTTGATACTAAGTGATAGAATCATTTTATTTATTTATTTTTAAATGTTTCTTTACTTGTGAGCGAGAGCATGCACGGGGGAGGGGCAGAGAGACAGAGGGAGAGAGAGGATCTGAGGCAGCCTCCACACTGACAGCAGAGAACCCGACGTGGGGCTGGAACTCACGAACCCTGAGATCATGACCTGAGCCAGAGTCGGACACTTAACTGACTGAACCACCCAGGCGCCCCAAAGTGATGGAATTCTTGCTCTGAAATGTTTAAATGCTTGACTAAGGAATCTCAACAAAGAGAACGTTTTCCATCTCGTCCTTTGGTTGTGGAATATCAGATTCTTCTATGCACTTTGGCCTTGTTCTGCAGACACTTGTGCCAAAAAATATCATTTGAAGTTATGGAAACTCAGGGATTTTTTTTTCTGATAAATGACCTCATTGATGTCTAATGAGAACAATATATATGTGATAGTTCTCTTCAGTAATTTCTATGTAAATATATTTAAATAAAATATCACTGTAATAAAAATGGTAGTTAACTTGGAATTTGTGTTTTATCCCCTAAAGAACTCCTTGCTCTTCCTCACTTTGTGGGGTAAATATAACTGGTGATTCTGCTAGATTTCTTGTGGAAGCAGAGAATTTAAGGCTCACTCCAAAAATCACATTTCAAGGAGCCATCTGTGGGTCTCAGTGCAAACAATGCAAATCCAACATGCCAACTGCAAACAAACATTTGAATATGAAGTAATCGAGAATCTTTCTGATTTCCCCTGATCCCCCATCTACAGGAGTGACTCTCCTGTCGTCTCTCCCCGCTGAGTCACCTCCTTCAGTGCACAGTGAATCTTCCTGGCAGAAACAGATCTGCTTCTAAAAATTAAGTTATTCTTCCATGAGCAAAGGATTGGTATCCAGAATATATAAAGAGCTCCTACAGATACATAAGTCATTCTAAGAGTTGTGCAAGGGCTTAGAGCAAGTTCCAGATGATAAATAAGCCTATGAAATCATTGAACACATCCTCAATAATCAAGATAACACAAATAACAATGGGAGGCCCCACATAGGCATCAAACGGACAAAATTTTATTTTATTATTGGTTTACTTTTTGACAACATCCTAAATATATCTATAGCAAGTGGACAGGAAATAGACTAACACGAGTTCTCTTAGGTGTTGGTAGGAGTATAAATGGAATCACTCATTTGCCCTCTATTTCACCACGTCCAGACAGTAGTTGATGTTCAGCCCACTGCACGGCAATCCCAGTGTTCCTTCCAGGCTGGAAAACACAGAGACCAAAAAGCGTGGAGATGTATGTGTTTTCGCTGCGGTGTTATGTGCCGTAGCAACCATTAGCAATATGATATCCGAGTGAAGTACAACACATACACCATGTTAAGAGATTTGTTTCTCTCTGCTTAAGACTAATCGGAAGCGGGGGCGCCTGGGTGGCGCAGTCGGTTAAGCGTCCGACTTCAGCCAGGTCACGATCTCGCGGTCCGGGAGTTCGAGCCCCGCGTCAGGCTCTGGGCTGATGGCTCGGAGCCTGGAGCCTGTTTCTGATTCTGTGTCTCCCTCTCTCTCTCTGCCCCTCCCCCGTTCATGCTCTGTCTCTCTCTGTCCCCAAAATAAATAAAAACGTTGAAAAAAAAAATTAAAAAAAAAAAAGACTAATCGGAAGTACTTTCCAAAGTGATACAAAGACGGACCCGAACACCAGGGGAACACAGCTTTCAAATGTGTATTTGAGGACATCTGGCTGACATCCCCTAACAGTGGCCTCGTGAATCTAAATCTCTCTACCACGTGTAAAAATTAAAGCAATCAACCAAAAAGGCACATAAAACTCTGTAGCCCCCATTTTCAGCACACCCAGGAAATGGAAAATGCCTAAGTCCATCCCTGTCTGTGACCATGATGGACGTTGTTGGGACAACTGGAAGCAGAGTCTGAGGACGAGGCGGTGGTCGGGGGCCCTGACTCAGTATGGGATGATCCGTGGTGATGCGGGAGAATGTCCCGGTGGGTGGGAAATACGTCCCAAAGTGTGTGGCATCAGGGGACATCACGAAAAGTGGGAGGACATCGGTGTGACCGCTTACTGTCATACGGTTCAGGAAGAGAAGCGTCTGTACAGGACTCGCAACTTCTTTATAGTTCAGGCCTGTTTCAAACATTTTTATCGTTCCAAAAAATGGGAATTTAAGGACCACTCGTGTTTCAGAATTTGATGTGACAAGGTGAGTGACTCGGAACACAGCCTGGTCATTTTTTCAAGGCGGGTCCTCCCTCTTTGTTCCCTTCGGACTCTGTGCTCCGGCAGCTTCTGTCTCCTCCACGTCCTCAGCATGGCCAGCCCAGGGCCTCGTGGACAGGAAAGCCGCTAAGTCCCGGATCGGAGCTGTGCACACTGATCTCTACGGAGCCCGACCCTCACTTTGGTGCAGGAGAGGGCGGGCAACTGAATCAGCTCTTTTGCAGTGAGATCGCCCTCCAAGCCGTGTATGTGTGTGTGTGTGTGGGGGGTGGGGTGGGGTGGGGGGGGTGCATGTGTGCATGCATGCACGTGTATGTATGTGCGTGTGTGTATGTGTGTACGTGCGTGTGCCCAAATACTTTCCTGCTCCAAACTCATGGCTGCCAAGGGATTTCCCTCACAGCCTCCCATCCCATTTCTTACCCTCCAACAAATACCCTGAGGTCCTCACCATCATGCCTCTAGGCTTTGTGTTCTGGCACATTCCTCTGTCAGGTGTTCTGGATTACATGGGCCAACAGCCTGGAACTCAGGAAAGCGGGGCACAAATACTACCTTCCATTCAGTCTTCCTTACCCTCCTATTTCAGTCAGAGCTCCCCTGACAGAACCAGTATGAGGTGTAGACAGACAGATAAGAAGAGCTTGGCTCATGTGACTAGGGAGGCTGCCGACTCCAAAAGCTGCAGTGTGGGCCAGCATACAAAAGCCCAGGAGAGCCAGTGGCTCTTGGTCATACACTCACAACTAGGGAGGAATGTCTGCATAGAACTATGAATCAAAAAAAAAAAAAAAAAAAAAAAAAAAAAAAAAAAAAAAAAAAGAACTATGAGTCATTGGCTGGGTGGTTTCCTAAACTCAAGTAGGAATGAAATAAGACATTAGTGGGAGATGATGCAATAATCCAGTGCTTGCTCCTGCTGAGGGTGCCCCCCCCCCACCCCCGGTCTCCTAAT